AGGGGCCGACCATTAGAAAAGTGATTGGGGGGGGGGGAAGCAAAAATAAAAATCGAGCAGGGGAAACAGAAAGAAAAAAAATTCGTGCACCAAAAAAGTTTGAAAAAAAAATTCGTGCAGAGACTTTTCAATAAGGAATTGAAATTAAAAAAAAATTCGTGCCAGGCATTATATTTAAAAAATTATCGACACAAAATTCAAAGCAAAAAATTTTAAAAAAATATTCGTACAAGTTGAAAAAGTCCCCCCCCCCCCATCACTTTTCTAATGGTCCGCCCCTTAGCTTAAACGGTGGTTAAGCTCAAAACAGAAAGCAACTAAGCAAGTCTATAAATTCATTCAACAAACAAACTAAAAGTTTTGAACCTTAAGGTAATTCCGCAGTAATTGTTCCCGAAATGAGAATGTGCTGAAATTTCCCAGGCATGGAGTTTATGATATACTTAAAGTAAAATCACACAAAAAAGTCGGGGTCACCGAACTCGTTAAGAAGATATGACAATCACAATATACCACATTTACCCCAATATGGCGCCATCTTGACGCTCATTACGAGTAACAGCAAACTCACAACAGCCCGATATTTATTGACGTTTTTAGCGCGGATTTTGCTTTAGTAAACCTATTTTGTAATTATTTTTCAAAAAATATTGTGTTTTGAGCAAAATGAAACTACTAACGTGTACAATTCTAATGCACAGATGTCTTTTGCACATTTCTTTACATATCTTTCTTTGAGAACATGCATTGATAAAGCATTTTTTTTTCAAGATCCAGAAATGATTTTTCTTTTAATTTCAGATATGAAATGTAAAATGCATTAAAGAAATAAATTATCAGTTAAAAAACGGGGGTCACCGATCTTTTTAGGGAATTGTGGCATTAAAACGTGAAATACAAGTAAATAAATATACTACAGACACAGGGAACCCTAGCTACACTTTTGTATGCCTTTTTTGAAAACATTGATTTTAACGTAATTCTTTGCACGAATGTAACCAAAGATGTTTTGAAGTAACATAAAATTGTCATAAAATGATATTTTTTTGAACGGTACGTATAATGGATGAAATTATAAGTTATAAGATGTGCGCAATGCAAAACTGCGCAATAACCTTAATAGAATGATAGTTGTAACTACATATTCAGTGCATAATATTTAAGTTAACTGATTCACGAGAGATATATAAGAGTGTTATTTAATCTTGATTTATCCACCGTCTAAGCTAAACGGGCTTAATACAACCGGCCCCAGTAGAGCATCAATGGCATAAATTTTGATGAACAATTATATTTTGTATAAATACCGTATTGCTGTCATCTACTATCTCAAGATATGCCACGGGAGCGATCGTCGAAAATGCGTTCTAAAAGGAATGAGCAATTAAGTGACAAGCAATGATATCTCAAGCGCGAAGGTCCAGTGTAGCAGGGTCTTAGCTAGAGGGCCGTTTTGGCCGTGTTATCGCGGCCAAAAAGGGAAAAACACGGCTAGATCAAATGAACGCGGTTTCATTATTTATATAAGGCCGTGTAGATAATTCATAAACTGATAACGGACAGAATTTCATCCTATCTACTGTACGTCGTAAGAAAGTTTGTAAAATCTACGGTTGTTGTTGAAATTGACAAAAGTGATCTGTGATGTTTTAATGTTTTGATGGATAATGGAAACTGTATGGTGTTGAAATGGTTTTAAATACCCCCAAGAGTTGATGAAATAACTTAATATTTTAATGTCAGTGCGTAATATGAGCGTATGCTCGCCTTGTATTTGGTTGCAAAGCATAGAACAAGAACAGGTATTGTCTGTTGTTGGCGAGCATAACTAGAACCGTAAATTTGGCTATTTGAGGTCACTGACATGTGCAAAAGTGCACACCCTGGTCATTTAGAAACACGCCCAAGATTTAAAATCCTAGCTAAGACCCTGCAGTGTAGGCACTGTTCTACAATAAGCTGCTTTGGTTTGTGTCTGAAGTCTGAACAACCTGAAAACCATTTTAAAAAATAAAATGTTGCTAACAAGGCGACTCGATCCTCACGACTGTGAAAGCAACATTGAATTTACGTACCCTTAGTTGCCTTTTATCGATATTTTCATCAGAAGAAAATTTCAAAACAACACCAGGTTCCATTTCCAACTTTTGTGGTAGTTCTTTCTCATTCTTGCTGGCCGTTTTTTCATTGTCTTTCACACGTTCAGTTTTGTCTTCCTCAGTTTTGTCTTCCTCAGTTTTGACTTCCTCATCTTCTTGACTTTTCTCGTTTGTTTTGGACGCTTGCTCTGTCTTATCTTCAAATTCTATCTTTAGTTTTTGTTTGGCATCTTTCATGGCCTGCCTCTGGAGTTTCTGGTATTCCTTCTTCAGACTTAGCCATTCTGTTCTGTATAATTATGGAAAAGATGATAAGTAGGGATGTGTGTACAATTCTTAGCCGTACCTGCCTAGTACTTAATTAATGGTTATCACCGCGTATACTTGAGCTGGTACAATCTTAAGACTTAATGTGTACTTAGTTTTTAAAATAAAGTACATAAAATACTTTTTGTTTGTGGAAACACCGCGTAAATTTATTACTGCAAACTTTCGATCCGATCTTCATCAGTGCTAATAATATGTTATTATTATTATTATTATTATTATTACATATTAGTATAATTACATAGGTGATTATTGAAAATTCTCCACGCTGGTTGGTTGCCGTTGAGGTGATTATAACGCGATAATCACCTAAGCGATTTTCGAAATGGCGGCCAAAGCCGTTTTGTCAATTAAATGACGAAGAAATGTGTATTCCCCAAATAATCACCTATGAAATTACACTGAAACAATTATTCACCTCAGGCTCGGTGATTATCGTGAATAAAAACCTCGACTTCGTCTCGGTTTTTATTCACCGATAATCACCTCGCCTTCGGCGAATAATTAACAATTATTGGATGAGGCTGAGCAGGATATCCAGAATTATTTAGACCAAGGTCAATGTTATCTGCCTAAGCCGAAGGCTGAGGCAGATAACATTGACCGAGGTCTGAATAATTCTGGTATCCTGCGCAAGCCGAATTCAATAATTGTTTTATTATTCATTTTATGACAGAAAGAAAACAAAACAAGCAACAATTGAAAACAAATAAATATTCATTGAATTGATTAACTTTTCGTAAATTCAACTAAAAATTTCCCGCCAATTTGTATTTTCACATAAAATACCGCTGAAATATCTCGGGCGCCATCCAATAATCTCTGCAGATTACTGTTTCCGCTGGAAATAGCGCAGGCACCTACAAATACCCAAAATTATTTGTAGGCTCTTAGCCAATGAAAAACCGAGAACACAGTGCAATGAATAATAATTGTTAATTATTAGACTGATGAAGATCCGGGCTATACGGATCGAAAGCTTTGCAGTAATAAATTTATGTGGTGTTTGCACAAACAAAAAGTATTATATATGTTTTACCGCCATGCAAACCTACAAAGAACTTAAAGTACACAAAGTCAAGGTTTCTGAAAGGCACTGTAACCTGAAACTACAGTAGGAGTTAGAACAAGAAGCACAATTGTATAATTATACAAACATTACAATTGACTGCAATATTCCTTAGCCCCATCAGACCAATGGTACCATCAAAAACTAAGCAAGAGCTTCGCGTACTTGTGGGGCACTTGTTTCTTTGTTCATTTGTTTATTTGCTAGTTAGTTTGTCTGTTTATGCGTTGTTTGTTTGTTTGTTTGTTTGTTTGTTTGTTTGTTTGTTTGTTTGTTTGTTTGTTTGTTTGTTTGTTTGTTTGTTTGTTTGTTTGTTTGTTTGTTTGTTTGTTTGTTGGTCTGTTTGTTTAGTTGTTTGTCTATTTATATAGGGGATCTTTAGTGCTGTTTCCTAGAAACGTTTGCTCGTCTGCATTGGACATGTGTATGAAACAAAAACCACAAGCAACATACTTGGAAATAACTCGAAGTTGTGGTACTTCCACTTCCTGTTTTTCCTTTTTCTTCCGTTTCCTCTTCTTCTTTTTCTTATCATCATCATCATCCATTTCCGACTCCTCCACGCCGCCACCCTCGGCACCAGCCTCTTCACTCTTTTTACACGAAGTACAACCTTCGTCGTCGCTTTCCTGAGATTCTTTATTCTTCTTACTTGACGTACCGCCATCGTCATTCGCCTCAGACCTCTTCCGCTTTCGTTTCTCACTTTTAGTTTCCTCAGAAGTATCATCACCCCCACTTTGTTCATTGTCTTTTTCATTTTCCCTTTTTGCCTTCTTTTGCCCTCTTTCTTCACAAATTTCCTTCTCAACAGTCCTCCTGGTTTTCTTAGGTACGTCCGTATCAGGAATTGAACTAGTACTGGCAGCATCATCCCTTTTGCGTTTTGATTTTTTACTTTTTCCTTTCGTGTCCTCGTTTTCAGACTCACTTAATTTCGCTTTGCGTTTCTTGTTCTTTTTGTTGTGTTTGCCCGTGTGTTCTTCGTCGTTTCCCGTTTTGTTTTCAGTTTCATCACCTTCTTTGCTTGGTTTCTCTGCAAACATCTAACAAGAAGAATATAATCTGGCACAAGGCCGGATTTTGGTGGAAATAGTGGGCGAGGTGGAAAAAACTTAGGGGAGGTGCAGCGATCTAGCTCACAAACGGGTCAAAGTCAACAACGTGACGTATGCACGTAGTGTACATATGTATCAGTGTATCAATGAATTATGACTGTACAACTCATCCAATTTTGCCCTTCATTACAATTACTACAAAGTCTCTTTGAAAACATTGCTTTAAAAGGGTACTTGATGTAGAGATGAATGGCTATCACTGTGACAGTTTCAATTTTACAGAAAAACTTTCTTACGAAGTGTAGACCCTAAGCAACCAAAAAATGTCAAATTTTCACTCTGATCTATCATTGAAACTTTCCCAAGGGGAGGTGCACGACTTTTCAGGGGAGGTGCAAAACGATCTCAAGGGAGGTGTCCACCTCGCCACACCTCCCCTCAAAATCCAGCCATGCAGGGGTATAGTCAGAGGAACTAAAATATTGCTCCTGAAGAAACGTGGGGGGGGGTGATCCAGACCTACTGTAATTAACCACAAAATAACTTTTGTAATCACCTTGAGCGCTGCCTCAGCTTCACTCTCCTTCTCAAATTCAACAAAAGCAAATCCTTTTATTTCTCTTGTTGTTTTATAGCGAGGCAAACTAAAAGTAAAATTGTCTGGCGTTAGACTGAGTAAAATAATCTGGCATTAGACAGGGTAAAATTATACTAAAGTAGGTTGCATCACCTACATTGCCACTAGCTTAAAGAGTGAACAGGATGCATGGGCAGATAGACTGCACTCTCCCATTGACGAATAAAATCATCTGGCATTAGACAGAGTAAAATAATTTTATAATATTGTATCACCTATATTGCCACAGCGCTAACAGGACCAATGTCGTTTGGCGTTAGACAGTCAGGGAGTAAAATAATAAAGTGGGGGCACATCAAGGCACATCGCCACTTAAAGTCTAATTAGGGTTAAAAAAGTTGGAGACAAAACAGTTGAAGAAAGTTGAGACATACCTGACATAGACAACATTACCACAGGCTGAGAAAAGTGATTTTATCCAGTTATGATCAGCATGAGACGGCAGTCGTTCCTAAATACATTTAGAAGAAGTAGTTACGCTAAATTGCTAATTAACATTGATCTTTGTTAACAATAACAAGATTGATGAGTTAACAACTTCTGACCAAATAACAAAATAAAGCAACTTACAACGTAAACAGTCACAGAATCAACATTCTTTGGCTCGGGAAGTGACTGAGATGGTTTCACCCATTTGTCGTCAATCACCTGGAAACATAGATCAAGTTAATGTAGGGTCCACATACATACATGTGCCCAAGGGGTACGATTTCAATGCTGCAGTTTTCTAGGGTGGGAGAGGTGGGTGTGATGTTTTAAGGTGGACACAAGGTCACAAAAAATTTTTCTCAAACAATTTCTAATTTTCTTTGCTGTGGCACCAGTCAATCAAATGGGTGATGATTTCTAAAGGTTTCATAGTTATTGAATATGAATGACTGAATCGATTGACTGGCCAACATACATACTTACTTCCACAGTTGGACAAAGTTTCATGGCTTTCACAATCAACGAAATGTCCCCGCACAATTGTTTCATCCGATTAAAACTTGCAATTGTTTCAATCTCCACACCTAGAACAGAATTGGATTTGTCAAACACTAGATTTTCAGGGGCAGAATGGCCTGTCTCGAGATTCCTATAGTGGGACAAGTTGTGACAATGCTGTTCCAAAACTTGTCAACAAAATGTCTCCTCAACAGGGTTGTAGGAAGCTTGTTAACAAGTTGTGACAATGCTGTTCCAACAACTTGTCAACAAGGTGTGTTTACAATAGCCAAGGGTGGGTTGACTACAAAATTTTTGTAGTTCGCTATAACTACAGCTACTTCAAAAATATGTAGTCAGCTACAACTACTGCTACTTTTGAACAAAGGTAGTTCGCTACTGACTACAGCTACAGCTTAAAAAATGTAGCGAACTATTTCGCTATTTCGCTACGCTATATTTTTAGTGTTACTGTATCTGGAGCATCTACTAACTCAGGCTGAAATGTAACCTATAACAAATCGACTTATTAATAGCAACAGTAAACACAAAGCAACATTTTTGTAAGCACTACAGTGTTCAAGAGTGCAAATTGACTATTGAGTATTAATTTTAAGCAAACCGTGTCTCAATATCATTCTATTCTATCAAGTTGCTAACAATTTTAGAAAGTAGCGAATAGCAATTCGCTGTTTGAAAAGTAGTCAACTACTTGGCTACTTTTAGGCAAAATGTAGTCCGCTATAACTACAGCTACTGTTTTAAAGAAGTAGTCAAGTTGTTGACAAGTTGTAGGAAAAGCATTGTCACAACCTGTTAACAAGTTTCCTGCAAACCTATTGCAAACACATCTTGTTGACAAGTTGTTGGAATAGCATTGTCACAACTTGCTAACAAGCTTGTTACAAGCTTGCTGATGAGACATCTTGTTGACAAGTTGTTGGAATAGCATTGTCACAACTTGTTAACAAGCTTCCTGCAAACCTATTGCAAACACATCTTGTTGACAAGTTGTTGGAACAGCATTGTCACAACCTGATAACAAGCTTCCTATAAACCTATTGCAAACACACCTTGTGGACAAGTTGTTGGAACAGCATTGTCACAACTTGTTAACAAGCTTGCTACAATTCTATTGCAAACACATTTTGTTGACAAGTTGTTGGAACAGCATTGTCACAACTTGTTGACAAGCTTGCTACAAGATGTCTCCTCAACAGGCTAGTTAACAAGTTGTGACAATGCTGTTCCAACAACTTGTCAACAAGATGTGTTTGCAATAGGTTTGCAGCAAGCTTGTTAGCAAGTTGTGACAATGCTGTTCCAACAACTTGTCAACAACATGTGTTTGCAATAGGTTTGTAGTAAGCTTGTTAACAAGCTGTGACAATGCTGTTCCAACAACTTGTCAACAAGATGTGTTTGCAATAGGGTTGCAGCAAGCTTGTCAACAGGTTGTGACAATGCTGTTCCAACAATTTGTCAACAAGGTGTTTTGCAATGGGTTTGTATAGGAAGCTTGTTAACAAGTTGTGACAATGTTGTTCCAACAACTTGTCAACAAGATGTGCTTGCAATAGGTTTCCAGCAAGCTTGTTAACAGGTTGTGACAACGCTGCTCCAACAACTTGTCAACTAGATGTCTCCTCAACAGGCTTGTAGCAAGCTTGTTAACAAGTTGTGACAACGCTGTTCCAACAACTTGTCGACAAGATACACATGTTTACAATTATAGGTTTGTAGCAAGCTTGTTAACAAGCTGTGACAATGCTGTTCCAACAACTTGTCAACAAGATGTGTTTGCAACAGGCTTGTAGCAAGCTTGTTAACAAGTTGTGACAACGCTGTTCCAACAACTTGTCAACAAGATGTGTTTGCAATAGGTTTTAGCTTGTTAACAAGCTGTGACAATGCTGTTCCAACAACTTGTCAACAAGGTGTGTTTGCAATGGGTTGGCAGCAAGCTTGTTAACAAGGTGTGACAATCTGTTCCAACATGTGTTTGAAATAGGTTTGTTGGAAGCTTGTTAACAGGTTGTGACAATGCTGTTCCAACAACTTGTCAACAAGATGTGTTTGTAATAGGTTTGAAGCAAGCCTGTTAACAAGTTGTGACAAGCTTGTTAAAACAAGTTCAGTAGTGTAACTTTAGTTTTTGACCACTTGCCAGGGCAAGTTGGACATGAAAATTAGAACTTGCCATGAATAAAATTCACATGCCATCAGACAATGGCCACTGGGGAGCCTAGGTAGGGGGTATAAATTAAGGGGACAACATGTCGACCTGTTCTCAAACAAAATTTGAATTAAGTACATGCAGTATTAAAAGATTTATATCCGAAAATGAAAACATAAATTTAAAGATGCCTAGCTTTTTGTGGCAATAGGCAACTTGGTCTTTAACCCTTTAAGTGGCAATGCACTCTACCTTAAGTAGTATTTTACTCTGTCTAACACCAGACAATTTTACTTGTTAAGTGGAGAGTGCTGCCACTCAAAGGGTTAATATTTTGGTATAAAAAGGTGTCAATTGTATCGAGGCCATTTATTAAGGCGCAATTCCATTCAGGAAATTTTCCGCAGAAAGAAAATTTTGTAAAATGTGATTGGCTGATACAAATCTTCTGTCAGAAGGAAATTTTCAAGTTGAAAATTTTCAACTTTTAACAATGATATTTTCAGAAAATTTTCTGTCTGTAAATTTTTCTTGAGTGGAAATGAGCCCTTAGATATTAATTTCTAAACTTCTGCAAAAAAGCATGCCATATCTAGTTGATAGATAATTATTCATGCACGACATAAACTTACATCCATTATCACTTTCGGCAATTCTCTGTCGCAAAAATCTATCTTTCTGAAGGTTCGGTTCACTGAAGTAAAATTCAATCTGACAATTGAAAACAAGAAGTTAAAATCAATCAGAAAAGAAATCCCATAGATTCTCATTTGGGATCATAAGGGAATGTATAACCCATTAAGCTGTTTTGCCAAGAAACTACAAAAAGTTTTTTTTCCTGTAAAAGATGCACTTTACTCTTGTATGGCAAGGAAACTAATTTCATTTAGCATTTGTTTTTACCCTTGCCTGGGGGTGGGGAATTATAAATTTTGGAGCTGTAAATTTTTGGGGCTGGACGTTGGCAGTAACAGTGCTGGTAATTATTGACAGCATTCATCATGCAATGCTGTCACAATTTTTTAAAATTGGAAAATGCCCGCCCGTTATCAGGGCTCGAAACTTGCGGTATCCCGATATCCACAGGATATCAGATTTTAATTTTGGATACTGGGTATCATAAGCTCAGTATCCCAACTGGATACTAGGAAAACTTAGAAATTGCGATAGTAGATAATCATCTAGACTTTTGGCATGTTTCCGAACTTCAATGTCTACCGATTTTGGCAGAATATTTAAAAAAAAAATTTCACCAACGGTGCTTTCTTTCGTATCGCCGCAGTGTGTTATTTTCAATTTTTTCGAATTTCAATACATATTTTTATTATTGAAACTAAAGGCCTGGTTTTTGCTCAGCAACTTTTTGCAAGGTAAAATTTTGCCTTGCATAGATACTGGAAATAGAATATGTAGTATCCAAATCTGGGTTACTATATTTCAAGGATGGATACTAGATTCTATGATGCTGGTATCCACTTGGATACTGACAAAAATTTCAAGTTTCGAGCCCTGCCGTTATCACGTTTTAGGGGTCATGTCCATATTCATGTTGCCACAAATAACATCAAATCAATGTTATGAGTGGGTGGGTGGGTTTTTATGTGAACTTATCGACATTATCTCGTGGCAATTTGACAATTAATGTCCAAAGTAACTATCACACAGGGGTTTTTTCAGGATTTTCTCTTGGGTCCATTTTTGCAGAGAAGATTGAGTTTAGCTGAACAGCTGGGGTGGCTGCACCCCCCCCCCCCCCTCCGGGGGGCTGACACCTGTACTCAATAAATGTAGTTGAGATGGAATGTGTTAAAGCAGGGGCACTAAGGGACACTATAAACTGGTTAAAGATGGCGAATGCATTGTTTTTCTTGTGTTGTGAGATGAATATTCCAGTCATTTTTTCTTAATTTTTGGGTTTCCAACTGAAAACTAATTTCCACACGTCACAAATTTAACTCAAACAACTTCATTTTTACTGCACTAAAACTTTGGTAAGAAGATTGAGTTTCAAAACTCAATTCAAGATTTTGTCCTAATACACATTTCTGGAAAGTATGTCACCGCGGATATAGAGTCTCGTTTTCATGATCGAGACGTTGGGCTTTCATTAATGATCAAATACAAGAAAACAAGGTTCTATAGCCGAAGTGATGTAATTTCTGGAAGGGTCTATTCCAAGGGCCAAGTTAATTTTAAAAAAAAATTATACAATATCCCCGGGGTGTTGCCTGCGGGATGAGGGCGAGGCCGTGAGGAGGGGGACCCAGGAGGAAGTTAAGAGCTCACCTACAGATTAATGTACACCATAAACAACAAGAAAACCTGACCACAACAACAGATATATTCCCATACTATATATAAAACACGTTTCCACAAACCTGTTTCTGGAGGTCAGCAAGTGTCTTCTTTTGTCGTTTCTTGTGTTTTTTCTCAACTTTCTCCGTGTTTTCTGCCCCCTCTTCCGCTTTAACTTCGCTTCCGTTGTTATCATTCTCTTCCATCGTGTAACTCCACAATAAAAAGCCCTTTTTTTTCAAGAAATAAATCTAGAAAAACTTCGAAATTTTAAAACGTTCAATTCACGTTTTTCGTCCGAATCGCCCGCCGTCCATTATTATTGGTCCCCAGATCTCCTCGGACCATGTGTTGCAAATTATGCTAATTAATAAGCCTAATTATTGTTATGCTAATTTTTCCTGTACTGAATTATGTTTTAAAATTATTGTTCCTAGAATCAGTGAATATGTTGCAAATACATGCACTGATTCTAGGAAAAATACTTGAGATTAATTATTTTGTAATTGTTCAGGGAATTTGTATTCATTTCTTGAACGAGAATTGCTGTAATAAGCAATTTCATCTGTTAAAATTATCTCCATTGTCACCAACAGGTGCAAGTGTGATATACTAACTTCCCGACGAACGGCTTTCGCTCGAAAAGCGAAATTCTGCTTATATTTTTGAGCGTTGTATATCCTTCACTAATTGCAAATTATGCTAATTATTCGGGGAAAACCCCGCGCGCGAACGTGTGTAACTCGCGAGGTTGCGTAGGCGTTCGTGTTCATGCAAGCCCAAAGTCACAACACATCGGCAAGGCATTTAGTTTATATTTTGACATTTTTTTATTAAATTTGTAAACCGTTGTGGTCTACCGACTGCCGATGGGTTCCCGGTATGATCATTACGATTACTTGTACAAAGTAGTTCTCATTGGCGATTCTGGTGTTGGGAAATCGTGCTTGCTTTCGCGTTTTACACGAAACGAATTCGACCACGAATCGAAGTCAACTATCGGTGTTGAGTTTGCAACGCGTAGTTTGGAAATTGATGGCAAAACTATCAAAGCACAGGTATTTAGGATACGAAGTTATTATCAGAGCTAGCAATTTTCAATATTTGTAATTTATTGTGAGCTACTGAGCTGGGATGTTTTGTCAATTTGTATGACAAAAGCAATATTTACAATGTGAAGTATTTGATACAATATCGAATAAATATGCAACATATTTGTTACATATATCTTGAAATCAATCTACCTTTTAAATTTGAGCATGTACACTCACTAAAAACTCGTATTTTTGCTTTAAAAGTTTAAAAATATTCCTATTTCATGAGCCGGAAGACTCAATTGTATTTAAATTTTGTCACGTATGGCCGAAACAGGCAATATTTTACATCCGCCTGTAAACTGCTACATTAAATTCCAGTTAATTAAATTGATTAATATTAACTGATTAATCAACAAAGTAGTTTGTCTTGTGGTGACGGGCATGCAGTATAATCATTATACAGCTTACTGAATAGATCACCTTCCCATATTTGTATTTATTACAAAAAATCAGGATGCATCCTCTCCCCCCAAAAGTGTCATGTTTTTGCATCAAAACATTCAGCAATGTGACGACATTCCTAACATTGTGAAATCAACATCTTGGAAATGGCAACGTCTGATTTGTCTGCAAGAAATTATGCCGAGTTTAGCTAGTAATTTTAGCAGGGCCTTCACTCGAAACGTCAGAGTTCTCCTTGTATTTTTCAGGTAAGCATCCCTACCTACACTGGTAGAGATTGTAGGGATGTAGTTGCATTCCGGAATGTTTTAACACAAAAACAAGGCACATTTCGTCGGTCGAGAGGAAACGTCCACGGTTTTGGTAATACACATGCCGACACTTGACCATGTCATTCAAAGTCACTGGGTTTTGAAGCTAAAGCTATTCAATGGTTCACAATACTGCTTCTTCTTTAACAAAGATTACCTCTGACAGACTTCAAACTAATAAACCACATAGCATTAACATGCTATGTACTACATACCTGTCATCTTCAATCCCGAGGATCAAAATTACGCTGTGACAGTGGGTAGCATCAGAAGAAAGCGTTGCTTTGTATGCTTTTGAAAATGTTAATAATTATGCATGATGTCTTACTCTAACACTAGAATTAAGCATTACAAAAAGAACCACACTGCCCTTTTAACCCATTGAGCACCAGCGCTCTCCAATTTACAAGTGAAATTGTCTGGCATTAGACAGAGTAAAGTTATAAAGTTGGGCACATTGGCATGCAATGCAACTTAATAGATTAATGGCACCTCCTATTTTGTGCACCTCTATTATTGATGCTCCAAACTCCAACCTTAATATTAACTTTTACTGAAGGACAATTTGTATCTTGACTATCTAGGTCTGGGATACGGCCGGACAGGAGCGCTACAGAGCAATAACGAGTGCTTACTACAGAGGAGCCGTCGGTGCCATTCTGGTCTACGACATCACCAAACAGAAAACATACGAGAGTGTCAGCCGATGGATGGAAGAAGTACAGGAGCATGCAACGGATCAGATTGTTGTCATGCTTGTCGGGAACAAGTGTGACTTGAGACATTTGCAGGCGATACCCACAGAAGAAGTTCAAACTTTAGCCAAGGAACAAAAGATGTTGTTTGCAGAGGCTTCTGCACTTGACGCGACAAACGTTGAGGAATTATTCCAGGAGACAATCGAGAAAGTACACAGGGTACAAATTAAAAAGCTTAAGGAGGAACTAGCAGTTAACAAAAAGGACGAGCCAGCGGCAGCAGAAAACAATGTAGAACTAGATAGTAAACCAATTGCTAAAAGATGCTGCCAAACATGAAAAATGTTTATTCAAGAAAATTTTAATTTTCTACTATATAATCTTTATACTTTAGTAAATTTTAGATATATTTTGTAATTGATTCTTACCATGCAGTAATAAGGCAAGAAACTTGTCAAGAGATAGCATTTACTTCTCATAAATATTACTCTAACATTTCAATACTAATACAATCATGTTTATTCAGTTATTGATCAATTTTAGCATGGTTGCCAAAAAGCTTTAGAAATTTCGGTAGGATGATGCAAACCCCCTCTGTCAAAAGACAATTTGTAGGAAAAAGGCTAAGCAGCTAATTTTGAGTCACGTATATGGGGAGGGGGGTTTGCAAATTCAGAAGGTTTTGTTAGAAGTTCAGGAGGCTTTGCCACCCAATTGGCCAAAGTGTGTTTCAGGAATGACATGTGGTATGACATGGCATACCTCGACATATTGTTTTAAATAGCATTCTTCTATTCTTGGTAAATTCTTAGGACAATATATTATGTAAAAAACCCAGCAAATTAGTCATATTAATTCAATTCCTTAGTAATTGTATAAACCCCTTATGGTAACCAGTAAAGATAGAAATCAATTATATTATACCATTTAGTTAAGATTATTAGACTATAATGCTTAATACGAAATTTTGTGAATTATTATATAATATACCATCCTATCTACATACTGTATATTTACACCAAAATATCTCTGATAATTTTTCAATTTTACCTTTTTGTAACATCAGTCTAAAAGTTCCATTATAAACATCTTTTTTACAACATTGTGTTGTGGCCACTATCTGACTCAGATTCTTGGGCGTAAAGTTCCATTGCCAATTTAAAGTCCTCGTCCACTTCACTTGAGGTCTCTGGACCTAAATATTTAAATGATTCTAATACACCCTTCCGGAAAGTACTCAGCCTTGGCTGTGGAGCCTCGTTTTCATGATTTGAGATATCGAGTTTAGATAATATAAAAGACCTTGATATCATTTATCATTAGGTCACCAGTAACAAGACAATTTCTCGATACCAATTTGTTAATTAATCCTTTAAGTGGCAATGCGCCCAGATGAGACCTAATTTATTATTTTACTCTGTCTAATGCCAGACGATTTTACTCGTAAGTGGGAGAGTGCTGCCACTCAATGGGTTAATTGATATCTCAATTCCAATAACAAGGCTCTATAGCCAAAGCTAAGTAGTTCCGGAAGGGTCTATTGCAGGGATGGATTTCATGATAAAGCAAAAAATAATAGAGACAAAATCAAATACAGTAATTTGAGCAATAACATGATGATAAGTGAACTGTGAACAGCAATTAGAATTCAAATACTGTATATGTTGAGCACAAATGGCCGACACAACTTGGCACCAGAGCTGGAAGAGCACCCCCTACCAGATCATGCTGGATCCATCCCTGGTCTATTGCGCCACTTTTATTTTGTGTCTGAACTACCTGAAAAGGCTAAATACACTAACAGTCAGATTGACAGAAATGCAACTACCTGAAAATAAAATATACATCTTACCTGTACTTTCATTGGTTGACCTCATGTCATAATAAGACAGTTCAATCGCTTTTTGTAGATCAGCGGTCTCTTGTGCCAGTAACATACGGCTAGTGCCCAGTCTTCTCTGTTCAATATCTGGGCTGTCTTCATTCTCATCACGGTTTAAGTATTCGAGTGTTTCTGAAACAAAAATTCTGTGGTCATCCTATGGCTTCAGAAGTAATTATTAGCTGTATAAAAATCTGGGACCATATAGCTGTTGTATTTTTTGGGGAACACCCTGTATTTCAGGTTGTTTGTGATATATATTTCAATATTACCATGTGCCACATCACGTCTTCGCCTTCTTCGTTCTCTGTCATCTGACTGACGATCATGGTTCAACTTCAAAGTTGTTTCAATCAATTTCTGCAACTGCAGACTGGGCTCTTCCTCAAATAAGAACTACAAAATATACAGTTCTAACTAGTTAATAAATGTTCTCAAACTCATTAATAATTCATGTCTTGAGTAACTTAGCCAACCGTATTGCTTTGTTTCGCTCACATGATAATACTGGACACCTGATGAAGAATATTGATCCAGTCCTAGGACTGGACAAAAATTAATTCAGTCCTTGGACTGGATAAAAAATAATTCACCTCACTTTAAGTATTGAGTATTATTCACCTCACTTTAAGTAATGAGATGTAATATTTCAAATCCTCCAATTTGGATTGGACTAGATTTTGAGTCCACGCATTTTGATCCAATCCTCGACTTCGCCGCGCACTTGAAATCTAGTTCAGTCCTCACAGTCGGATTTGAAATATTACCTCCCGCTCTAGCTATGATGTACACAGTCTAAGGGGCTAGCTTCAAATTCAAATGTCAAAAACGTGCTCTATAAACTTTGAAATAAGAGTTCCGGAGTTACAGGAATACGTTATTTAATTTTCAGCAAATTGAATTAGCCATTTACCAATCGAGCAGAGGACTGAGTCTAGTTGCTTGTTTGGAGGGACAAAAAATAAACAATATGCCGAATATGGCATCTTGGAAGTTTTCCTACATTCCTAAAGTTGCTTATGCAGCCTGAAACGCAACAATTATGATAAGGCATATTTTAATACGCTTGCTCACTATAACTTGTTGTCTCTCCAAACGTCCCTCCAAACATCCTCTACACGATTGGGAAATGGCTAATAGCAACGGTCGAAAATCGGAAGTCGGTTTTAATTTTTTTTGCAAATACATTACATACGGATAATCCACTATTACTCACCTCCTCGTCAGAGTCCTCCTCCAAAACTGCGTTGTACCTGGAAGCAGAATTGAAATCAGAGTGGCCTCTTTAACAGAGTCTTAGCCAGGACCATGGTGCAATGTTCTGGCGAACCAGCCTGCATGAACACTCTCAAACACGTACACACGAATAAACTTCGTCTTGGTAAAGCGAGCTAGCTAGCGTCCTGAGACTAAACCTCTGTATACACCCTCTAACAGGGATATATTTACGGAAGGGGGGAGAGAGTAAACCCTCCTTGGCAAAGGGGAGTCTTTATAATCAGTCTCCATTTTTTGAATTTGGAAAAGCAATTTATTACAAAAACAAAAGTAGGTATAAACATTTTTCGAAAATATCATTGTTAAAAGTTGAAAATATTCAACTTCAAAATTTTTTCCGACGGAAAATGTGTGTTGGCCAAAGCCTTTCTCACGATGACGAATATCCGCCATTTTTGGGTGGCATCTAATTCTCGTTAAGCAATGTAGACAATTAAAACAATGTGAAAAGCAATTTTTCAAAATAAAGAACCATTTACAAAGCAAATTTACCATCATTCCTCAAAAAAATTATAGAAGTCGCTGTTATGTGGACTTGTCTCGCAGACTTCGGCTGAAAAGCCACCCAAAAATGGCGGCGTGAAAAAGGCTAATTACATTTTACAATTTTTTCCTTCCGCGGAAAGTTTTCTTGAGTGGAAATGGGCCTTATCTTCACTAACCTTTTCAGGTAATTATAGCGAGCTCTCTTCGCTCGTGGTGAATCGTCGGGAGGTATAAGTCCTCGTGACAGAGCAAGAAGAAAATCGTCTCTCTTTCGGTGTGTAAGTTGAGCTGCACTGATGATTCGAGTTCTAGGCGTCCGCAGATATGGACGCGCTACCATCTGGGAGAGACTTTCCGTCGCTTCTTCAAGCTCAGTCTAAAGAAAACGAAAGGAAACCGTACCGTATATCAGGGCAGGCAAAATGAATTTTCTTCCTGGGAGCACAACCTGGAGACAAAAATTTCCTGCAGACCAACGGAGTATTTTTGTGCTAAATCTGCATGTGCATAAACATATAGTGTTCTAGCTGACCATGGTTTTAAATTCAAGGAATAATGTCTGTCAACCATATGTTGTTGCGCCCAATTGCGCCCATAGTGGGACATGGGTGTCGAACTTTCCTTCAAATTTTCAATAGCAAATCTTCATTCAAATTAGGAGTTTCCTGCAGCTGTTTAACATTTCCTGCGAACATGCAGTGCTCGCGTGCTCGCCTATTTTTTCCACCCTTGCCGTACACACGTGAAAACGCACAGGTTGTTACAGGTCTGCAAACTCTGTTCACAAGCTGTCGACAAGTTGCGTTCGCACTGCTTGTTCCCAGTTGTTGTAACAAGTTTGGAACAAGCTGTTAACAACTTGTAACAAGCTTGATGGCATTATCAGACTTGTCACAAGGTTGTTCTAACAAGTCTGATACAGTCATGATAAACAAGAATGTTACAAGGTTGACGACACAAGGTTGTAACAATACTGCTATATCATGACTGTATCAGACTTGTTGGAACAACCTTGCAACAAGTCTGATAATATCAACAAGGTTGTTACAAATTGTTAACAGCTTGTTCCAGACTTGTTGACAAACTTGTGACAAGCAGTGCGAAGACAAGTTTTTGACGGCTTGTTGACAAACTTGTTACAAGATGTGAGATTTTTGCGTGAGAACACAATAAACTAAAGTACTTGACTGGAAAGCTTATCAGTTCTGTTATTCCTAGAGGTACAACAAAGGGCATGTTATACGAGGCAACTTTTGCTGCAACTTGCGTTTCAAGCAAGACTGCCTTGTGTGAGATAAAACATGTGTGTTCTTATGCTATTGAATACAAAAATAAAATCACTAAAACAGACGTGTTCTCCCTGACCCACGGTAGTATTTGTCGAAGTTTGTATAGTATTTTTCATTGTGCTACCAACCACCACTACACTGAATACCTGCATTAATTCAAAGATGATTTTCTTCTGTTCGTTTCTGCCCAAGAAGAATCCATATCCATACGAGGCTCTCAAAACTCTCCTGGCCTTTAATAATTTTCTAATGGCATCTTCAACAAAGCTTGTATCCGGTTGAGATGTTGATGGTGATGATGATGCAGAGGACTGCGCTGTAATATAAATTATGAAAATTATATCTGAAATTCAAATATGAGTAAAATAAATGCAACTGTGGGGTATTCGACCTCCAACTCTCACCGATTCTCATCACCTCTCAGCAACTTTGAGCTGGTTTAAGTTTTGACGAGGGTTGATAAAAGTTTTTGGTCGCGGTTTGACCGATAACATCTACTCAACTCTCACCAGGGTCCCCACCTTTTAGTGAAGATGAAATTCAAGGACTTTTCCAGGACTTTCAAGGACCTTTTTCAGTATATTCAAGGACCATGCAACCACCTTTTTAGTTTACACATAATCATAATGTGAACAAATATCAAATTATGTGACCGACTGACCGTCGAATATCCGCTTCGCAACATAACTTTTGGACAATTGTTATACATAATTTTAATTGAAATTGGAGAAAATAAACATTTGGGCAATAATCCTTGGGCTGGTAATAATTCTTCAATTATTTCCAGCCTTAACTGAAAAAAAATTCCAGGACTTTCAAGGACCTTATCAGTTTCCAAGGACTTTCCAGGCCTGGTTTTTTTTTAAGAAATTCAAGGACTTTCCAGGATTTTCAAGGACCGTGGGGACCCTGTCTCACGCGATTCGATCTTGTTCTCGTTTGACATTTTGATAAGAGTACGAGAGTTAAGAAATCTCTCATGCATGCAAACTCTCATACTTGTTTTTACTGGGGCTGCACACTGTACATGTATGTAGTCTCGTGAGTGCTTCCCAGGGTTCGAAATAGCGGGCTGTCAATTGTCAAAAGCAGGCCATATTTTAGAAATGGCAGGCAAAAACAAATTTGAACTGCCAAGTAAAAAAAATGGCATGTGAAATTCTATAGATGTATTTCTCGTTTCATTTGCTTACCACAATTCATATATATATATATATATACTAGATCATTTAGTGGACTAAATACGTTTATATTTAAAATGTAAATCCAAGTTTACTGTAGTAAAATAGACAGGTTTAAAAATAGTAAAAATGCACATCATGAAAACATTGATTTTACAATATGACTCATATCATCGCCATTTTGGCAGTTCAATGAATAAAAATGGCAGGCTAAAATTTATTTCACCTGCCAAAAAATTTTTAGCCATATTTTTTCTCTACTTCGAGCCCTGGTGCTTCCAGACAGATTGTATTAAAAATCGCATGTTCTCCTAATTTAATAGCTGTTCCCTTCTATAACGTTGATAACAAGATAGTATATTTTATTATCCAGAAATATTAACCAATATTTAATTCTAACCTGATTCTGCCGCGATTGCCAAGGCGACCATTTTATCTTTGGCTGACTTGAGAAGCGGTTCCTCCAACTACACAAAACAAAACAAAACAAGACGAATACGTATTTACAGTAGACATCTCGAAATATCAATGTACTCAAACTGACCATTTGCCCTCCAAAATATTCTTACCTTATAACTATTTTCGTGGTTTTTAAAACGAGAATAGTAGTGAAGGAAATGGTTAAGTTCTTCGACCTTCTTGTGCTCCTCATTGATCTGATGAGAAAATCAGTGAAATGCTAAACGAGTTAATTTTACGAAGATATATAGAGGCGAGTCAGTCACTCAAATGCAAAAAAAATATAAAAGTTCTTACGGATTGTGTTTTCTCCAATACTTTTTCTTTGACATTACGGACCACCTCGTAACGATTGCACCTGGAGAAATGTGAAGATAAACCGTTTATTGAGAAGCGGCGACAGTTAGCATTGAGAGTTTTCGCACCTTTCGTGTTCCGGTCAAACGAGAACACGAGTTGTGTGAGGTGTGAGAAAAGAGTTGACTGGATATCACTGGACAGATGGTCATCAAATCTCATCGAAACTTGAACCAGCTCAAAGCTGATGAGAGTTGATGAAAGTACGTAAGAGTTGAAAGCTGTAACTCTGATCAACTCTCGTCAAATCTCATTCTCGTTTCATCAAGAGTTTCACCGGGGCTTTACTTCTACCTTTAAATCGTGTAAATGCATGTTAGGCCCTGTTTACATGAGACCGGAACGAAGTCAAAGCGGGAACATTTCGTTTCGGTCATAGTATTATTTAAAATACATGTTTACATGAGACCACGGGACGAAAATAATTCAGACCGGTCTCAAGTAATTCCGCCTTCTGGACCGAACCGACTGGCTGCAAACCGGCATGAATTCAGAGCGGGATGAATGTAAACACAAATACATTTCAGACCGGTCTAGGCTGTAACCTTGACATTGGAACAACACATGCTAACAAAAGCCATCTAAAAAAGAAAATTGCCTGGCAAGGGGAATAAATTGAAAATTTTGTGATTTTCGTACCGGTCTCATGTAAACATGTTGACAATTTCAATTTTCATTCCGGTTTGACTTCGTCTAAAATTATCTTTCACATTTCTCAAACTGGTTAATAACTCGTCGTTATTCTTACTAACCTGAAGTAACCGCCAGTAGACGAGTTGTGTTTTTTCCACGGCTCCAAACAAACCCAACAAAATTCATGCTTACACTACATTCAAAATAAATTTTAAAATTAGAGTGGCGTACATTTCGTAAATTGAAGGGACTAGATGGCCGGCAACCAGCTTCCTTTTTGTGGTAGTATAGTTTTCTTTTCGTTTGCAATTAGCAAGGTGAAACCGCAGGGGAAACTGCGGGTCTGATCCGGCCCCGGGTGTATTTTGTCTAATTTAATTTTTTTCCCCTTTTTAAAACTTTTTTCCACCTTTTTTAGAATTTGGGGTTGGAATCGGTGTATTTCGCTACATATATCTGACTATAGTCACTATATTGCCGGCAGTTTACTAAATAGCCGACTGCAGGCTGTCTCGTCATTTTGGACATTTCGTTAACAAAATTTAGTTCGGTGTTATTTGGACAACGTATGTATACCTTAGTGCATTTAATATGATTACACCCTTCATTTTTCTGTATTGGAGAACTGCATTTTGGGCAAGGTTTGGAATTCGTAATTAGCCACAAACTATTTGCAACTCGCTCTGTCTCTGGACATTCTTTTAAATCTAAACAAGAATCAGAATTTCATTGAAACATTGTAACAGCCAGGTACATGTCAAATCCTTTGCCAAGGCTGGTAGGGGCTAAGGGCACCCCCCCCTGTAAATCTATCCCTGATCAGATGTCCTAAATCGCATCATATACTGCAAGAGGTAATATTTCAAATCCGACTATGAAGACTGGACTAGATTTCAAGTCCGCGCAATTTGATCAAAATGCGAGGACTTGAAATCTAGTCTAGTCCAAATTGGAGGATTTGAAATGACATCTAATACGAATACATCACTACTTAAAGTGAGGTGAATTAATTTTGATCCAGTCCAAGGACTGAATTAATTATATTCACCAAGTATCCAGTATTATCATGTGAGCAAAATAAAGCAATATGGTTGGCTAATTTACTCATGAATTATTACTGAGTTTGTGAGATGCACTGTATACATACCATCTTTCGGTAGCTTTGGTAATATTTCTTCAATTGCTTCGAGCCATCTTTTCCAACCTTCACACGTGCTCGGCTCATGAGATTGCTCCATACAGTGCCTAACATAAAGTAAATATGTAAGGGACCATTCACAAAGGATGTCCGGCCAAATGATGGATTTTCAGAACCCCCTCCCCCCCTTGTCCGGCATTGTCCGAATTAGTGACCCTCCCCCCGGACATCCGCCATGCCTCGCAAAAACTCACGCAACCATGTATATGTCAAGAGTAAAAAACTTTTTTTACTTTTAGAACTTTTTTATAACTATAAATGTGAATACAAAAACATATAAATTACTAATTAAAACAAAATCTAGTATTAACTGCATAGTCAAAATGCCAATTTCACAATGGGAAGGACTGCTCAAAATAAAGGGAAAAAGAAATTTGTTTTTGATTTTTTTTAAATTTCGGACATCCGGATTGCTAAAACTCCCCCTCCCCCCCCCTATGTCCGAGTTTGTCCTGATTTTCCCAACCCCCCCCTCGGCTCGGACATCCTTTGTGAATGGCCCCTAAGAATATGGAAGATCCGCTGTCAGGTAAGACATGCATGGAAAAGTGGCAAATGGACTTGATGAAATACAAAAAGTATCTTACTGATGTAAAAGAACATCCAAACGTTTTGAATTTTTTCACAAAAGTTACACAACTGCCGTTGCTCTGGAAACAATGACATTTCAAGATGGCGGATATTTTGGCTTTAAATTAAATTAAATTAAAGTAATTTAATTCGAAAACGATATTGGTGACCCCCAAATCTCATAAAATGTTTTCCCTTAGTCATTCCGAAGTTGATGAGTGGACTGGGGACGAGTGTTAAAAAGTGCCCAAATTAAGAAATGAACCAAATCACTAAAAAGATCACCTCAAAATGTATTAAGTATACAGAGTTTGAAGACGTTTTAAATACATGAATACCCTTCGAATAATAAGCTTTCGAAAATTGTGAAATTACTGATTAAAATATTGTTTTTGGGACGCGCGTCTCCAAAAACAAAAATTACAGTACATTTCATAGTAAATATCGCGATTTTAGAAAGCTTTTTATTCGAAGAGTATTCATGTAAATGTCTTCAAACTTTGTATACTTACTAATTTTGAGGTGGTTGGTTAATTTCTTAATTTGGGCACTTTTTAACATTCGTCCCCAGTCCTCTCGTCAACTTCGGAATGGCCAATTATCTTGACAATTTAAAAAATTAATTCTCTTGATCCAAAATTTCTCAAACTACGTAAATGTGTTTATTCATGATAATTTGTTTTGGGCTCGACAGAATTAACCGCCGACTCTCATCAACTTTGCACCGGTTTAAATTTTGCTGAGAGTCCTTAACTATGTCAATGCTCACCAGCAAAAGTAATGTTCGTTTCCACAATCGACAATGAGAGGCACAGTCTCTGACATGGCTCCCGCTCCAATAGAATACTCTCGACTTTGATGTTCAGGCAACTGAACCGCGTTATCACAGTGAGGGAATGGACACCATTTCAAGTTGGGATTCGAATCCACGAACGCCTGTGTACATACGTAAATGAAACGAAGGTGACGATAAACTTAAAGGACATTGGCAATAAAAAATTAGTTTGTCTCATTCAAAAGAACTCTTAAAGTTATGTATTAATTAAACTCTATTACCGATTTGTCATATCTTGCCTAGTTCTCGAAATATTTAGACCGAAATTAATGAGATTTCCGCCATCTTGGACTAATTCTTGACCTCATTAACTATGGTTTTGATGACGTCAGGAGTTGGGTTAACCATGTAAAACTACTCTAAAATGACCGAGTAACAATCCAAAATTGTTTGAAATGTTTTTAATCATTTCTAAATTTCAGAGGGCAACCAGAAACGAAGTTTTGGACCCAGTTTTACTGTCAATATAAAAAAATTAACGTGACCCCTCTCTTGACGTAACATGCATATCCTCAACAATCCAAGATGGCGAACAGCTCACTTTTTTTTCAGTCAAAATATTTTGAAAACTAAGGAAGATGTAAACAATCTGTAATAGAGTTTAATAATATATAATTTTAAGAGTTCTTTCAAATGAACTAAACTAATTTTTTATTGCCAATGCCATTTAAGGTCAACTTAACTCAACCCAACCATATTTTCAATTGCGATTACTTTGTCTAAGAAAATTTCTGCATGATTTGAAGTATATACTGCAATAGATGTGCTCTATTATGTGTTTCAAAGGAACAGGAATTATTCATACCTGTATATTAAACCTCCCATATTTCTTAGCTACATCTTTCGGGACAACGCTTTCAATCACATCCTAAAACACATTTTACAACAATAGTAAATCTACAGTAGAAGATTTTGCGCAAACTCATATTGACGTGATCCGTGTTAAGCTTGGGGAGTACAAGGATCAATGCTGCTTCTCTAGAATCTTTCAGTTATTTTAGTTATTTCCTCAATATGAATTTGACCGCACTTACCTAGTGGTGCCTAAATTAACGTGAATTTGTACTCGAGTAAAAGTAGAAGTAATTATAACAATAAAACGACTTGAGTAAGACTAAAAAGTATTGGAGGCAAAACTTACTTAAGTAAAAAGTACAAAGTATCCTAAAAATACTTGAAGTAAAAAGTAAAAGTACTATTTGTCTGTAAAGTGTGTGTGAGTTTCTCCAATGGTTGACATACAAAAAACACAAAACAGCACACGCAATATATGCGCGCACCTATATTATACAATATTCACGACATGGCATGCTTTCCAGACTTTGTTGAAGATATAAGAAATCCTTTAAATAACGTTTATATAAGTAAGCCACGAACGAGAGATCCCAGATGTATGTATAGAGGCCCTATTACCTATCCCGAATTAAAATAAGTCCGGAATAAATCACGTAAAATTAAACAAAAGTTAGAAAGTAACGAAGTAAAACGATACTTCGTAAAAACGACTTTGTTCCAATAAATGTAGTCCAGAAAAAGTTTAATTTGTTACACGCTGACTTCTCAAAAATAGCACTCAAGTACTGTAACGAAGTATAATTTTCTTTCTTTACTTGAAACCACTACACTTACCACGGGAACCAAGCATGAACATCTAAATGATGGACATTTGATGTTTGAGATATCACCATCGCTGATTTTCAGGCTTAAATAACTAGAACAAAATTGCCATACATGTAAACTATATAAAACTAAGTTCAAATAGATTTTGTAAGTTCTTTAAAAGGAATATAAATGAAAAGGAAACTTCATCAAAGTAATGAGCATTTGAGATTATACCTTTTCCAACAAGAGGTACAAAACTTGTGGCCACAAGGCACCGAAACAGAAAACATTTCTACATCTAGTGTTTCATAACAAATTGTGCATTCGTACTAAATGGAAAAGAGAAACTAGCTTTAGTTGGTAGCAATTCTTTCTATACGTAAGAAAAATGTCGTTTTTTCTTACGTTTTCGTTTGGTTGATCATCTACAAGAGAATTTTCAATTTCTGATTCTGAAATGGAATTGAAAATATTTAGAGAATTTGCTTGGAATGTTCCCGACAGTGTTTTCAGGAAGTTTTCAGGCGGTAGAATAACGATGTTGAATTACATTAACCTTGCGAGGGAGTCACTCCAGCCTTCTCACAAGCGGCAATAGGATCGTCTATCCACGCCTCCAGTAGAGATTCCCGTGACCAGTCTAAAGATGAATTATTCATCATTATAAACATTCATTTGTGCAAGCCTGAAAATAAGCGGCAGGTACGGACATTGTCCTGTACGAAAAGGTACTTGTCCGGCACGACTGGTTTTTCGCCGGACAGTTTGTCCGGCAGCATATTAATACAAACTATTGGTGAAACTGTCTACAACTGGCATTAAAAATTTCATTATAATATTTCAAAATATTTGCATTCCGCATTTAAAAATTATTTGTATGTCCAAATTTTATCACGTATGAACATTCAGACAATATGCCTGTGAAAATGCTGTGAAATTTATGATTGTTCGATTCCGTATGACATAATTGACCAGTGGCTTAATTGTTGTTACTAAGCTTTTCATATATTGGCTTCTTTTATTTCAAGGACCACTAAAAACTATATTTGCTCTATTGCGTTGATATTTTTATCAGGAACAAAAGGTCTAGTGTCAGGCACCAATCAGCTGGTACCTGACACTTCGTCAGGCACCGTTGGAAATTTATTTTCAGGCTCGCATTTGATTTGTGATTTGTCGCATTTTGTACAAGATTGTACAAAAACTCATGAAACGTACCAAAATATCGAAGGAGACCTTCCGCCATAGATAGTGAAATCTAAAAATGAAAAGGATGTATGAAAGATTAAACTAAAGCACAGGGCATCCGTTTTACAAGATATGGTAATTTTATATACGCACCTGTAACATGTCAGCCATCTGTACAAGTAGCTTGTCTTTCGTTTCCTGTAGTTCTTTGGCACCCAAACCACACTGTGACTGAGTGAACTGACAGAACAAAAAATGATATTAGGTGAAACAAATTACTAAACAAATTGTCTTTGAAAACAGTAACATCATAAACAACAAGGACAGGAAAAATAATCGCAACAACAACATAAAGAACAATACCAACAAATAAATGCCAACAACAAGTAAGCAACAACAACAACAAGTAAACAACAAGTAAATGACAACAAAAACTAAACAACAACAACAACAAGTGAACAAGAACAACAAGTAAACAACAGGAACAACAAGTAAACGACAAGAACAACAAGTAAATGACAAGAACAACAAGTAAACAACAATGGCAACGGCGACAACAACAAGTAAACAACACAACAACAACAAGTAAACAACAACAACAACAAGTAAACAACAACAACAATAAGTAAATGACAGCAAAAACTAAACAACAACAACAAGGAGTGAATAACAACAGTGAAGTGAAGTAAACATGAAGTGAACAACAAGAAGTAAATAACAAGTAAACAACAAGTAAATATAATAAGTAAACAATAACAAGTAAACAACAAGTAAACAACAAGTAAATATAACAAGTAAACAATAACAAGTAAACAATAACGAGTAAACAACAAGTAAACAACACCAACAAGTAAACAACAAATAAGTAACAAGTAAATAACAACAAGTAAACAACAACAAGTAAACAATTATAAATGTGCATAAAGCCTGCCGCACACAAGAGCAACTTGCTGAGCTAACTGCCTCGCGAGGCAGCTAGTTCAGCTATGTATTTTCACCGCACACGTTGAGAAAACTACTCAACAACAACACAATTGACAAAATCATTTGCATTTTCCTCCATTTTGTTCCAAGTCACATGAAGAAACCATGGTTTGTCATTGGCTAATTGATTCAAACAGCTCAGCACTTAGCTCACAACATCCGCAGACGCTGAGGTTTTTTCCTTGCGAGGCGAAAAATATCAAGCACAATAGATATATTCGATCCTCAAGGCCTCAAATCCTCACGAAAACTATCCGCACACGAGAGCAACTTGCTGAGGTAACCGCCTCGCGAGGCAGTTAACTCAGCAAGTTGCTCTCATGTGCGGCGGGCTTTAGGCAGTTAATGTTTGGCACTGCCATCACATTATGGATTAAACAGTTCACTATATATAATGACATACATTGTCATCAACAGGAATTATCTCTTCATCATCTGATCCAGTTGACTCCTAAAATATCAATTGTCACAGTTTATTGACAATATGCCACATTTACACAATTATGGACATTTTGGGAAGATATACAGAACTAACTGATTCAACACAATTTACTCACATTAAACACCATTTTGGTCTCAAGGAACTCAGCAATCTCTCGAAAGTTCTTCTTAACAGCAATATCACATGCTGTTTGACCTTCATTGTTCTCCAAATAGATTGGTGCCCCATTTGTGACCAACTCCTACAGAATTTAGTTTTCAAATATCACACACCCGTACATACAGTATTTTATTATAATATAGCATTTGCAAATTCTGAATGCTGATTGGCTAAGAGACATGTTGACATAGCTCAATGTCATCACGGAAAATTTCTTTCTTCATATTTCTTAAAGAGGCTGCATGTCAAGTCCGTTCTGCTCATGCACCCGTATTGTTTACATTTTTTGTTTCAAACAATAGATAATTTAATTAAAATTCCGATCTGTGGGTAAATTATCTGTTGTTTGAAACAAAAAATGTAAACAAAACACACACATGAGCAGAACGGATTTGACAGCCTCTTTAAAATATGCTATATTATAAAAAATATATATATATAAATATAAAAAAAACAGTTATCAAAACGCGTGGAAATTGGGATAATTCGAAATTGTGTGAGAACACTCCACCCTCCAGGTGTTGGTCGTGTTTGATGACCACACAATTTCTCTTTTTACAATTTCCACTCATGTTGATATAACTGTAAAACATAAGCTTCAAAAATACTTAAAATCATTTAAATTTTCAATCACACAATCTCACCTTAACACAATCCAGTAATCCCGAGTTAGCAGCATAGTGTAATGGGGAGTTTTTATCCTATAACATTTTAAATTAATTTCAATGTATCACTCCAGAAAACATCCATACTATATTCAATTGATAAACCAAAGTGCACCCCAATATACCGTTACTACCATACTATATTTTTTTACTTTGTCGGAAAATTTTGCTGGCCAAAGGAAGACTCTTACTGTATTCATTGCATATTAATGGTAATCTTCCTTCTTGGCTATAAATTCCTTGTTATGAAATATAAAACCATGATGAGATACCTATTATCTGTTACACTTATTATACATTGTAAAATGAAATTAATTGCTTATTGCTAAAATGGTAATCATGCAACTGACAGATCTGAGTTTATATCTAGATCTGGATCTGTATGTCGAGGTTGCTAATTGCTCTTGTTATGATTGGTTTTTACTCTATTTTTTTAAGAACTATATGTTGTTTTGTGTGGTAGAATTTAAATTGTTGTTTTTATCAGGAATGAGCTTAATCACAATGTACAGTTATAAAACGATTGTTGAATTCAGTTTTTGGTATATCAGATGCAAGTGTTATCAGTATCAACTTTCAGGTAAGCCTAAAAACAGTTAGGTTGACCTTTACGCCATTATCACGAAACCCTCATCCAATAATTGTTTCTTGTTACACCTATGACGTTATTAGCCAGACATCTGGCACCCAAATCATGCAAATTTACATGACCACTATTCCAATACGAAAACAAATATTGACTAGACCTTTCACAATAACAATTCAAATTTGCCTAAAAAATCCTCATCCTTTGTCAAGAACAAAGCTTTGCTAAGAACTACATGTGGTGGTCCATGCTAAAAGCTAATTTATGAAACACAATTTACATAAAAACATGACACAAACTGGACAAAGCACCTGATGCTCTGACGTTTGTAAAGAATAAAGATCAATTAATAGCACTACTTAATATCCGGCACTGAAAAAGAAAAACAAAAAGGGACTATAAAAGAAGGAAATAAACACCTAAATTTATATAAAAGACACCTTTTTTGTATTACAAAAGCTTTTGCACAATTAAATTTTACGAGCTCCAAATATTTATAAACGTATAATTGCGATAAAACTGCCTCATATTGCCCCCAGATAAAACGGATCTCTGGCAGTTCTATATAAGAACTTATAAGGTCGAACTAATAAAAGGTTCGTATATTTCTAAGACAAAACATACCTCGTCTATAACTTGTTCAATAGTCAACTTTGAGACTGGCTCGTTCCCTTCGTTGTCGTTCAACCAAGTGAGCAAAAGCTTTAGACATTCATATCTCCTCGAAGCATCGTCTCCTTTCGCTTTGCACACTAAATGAAACGCAGTTTGCCCTGTGGAGTTCTTCGATAAAGGATTAGCCCCTTCTGAGAGCAAGTCCTGAAGCAGTTGTTTCATGGCATGGGCACAAACGTAATGCACGGCTGTATTATTGCCGTGGTTTGGCCCAAAAGATCGGTTCAACCTGACGGCACGTTTTAAGGTTGGATACCTTATGAACAAATTCATAGCTTCGTTTTCTTCTCCTCGCTGCAATGCTTGCCGAAACTTTGTCGACGAGACCCCCATATTTTGAAATAGCCGGCAGACGAACGCTGAAAGTCTAACAGTACTAAAAAGTATATGTCCTCGACTCGTGTTTCACTACAAAAGACATCCCATAAAAATTTAGAATTTCACTGTAAAAAATTGAAAAGCCTATAAGTGTCTGCCATTTTCCACATTCAGCTGTTTTTCTCAGCGTGTTAAGTACAGCTGCAACCAAGACTTGAGAATATGGAAACAAAAAAATTATCTTCACTCCATCTGATCACTCTAGTTTTCGTTCGAACAATGAAAATTTTTGTAAACACAGACACGGCCAAGAAGACTGGGTCTAGTTACATTAAACTGATTAAATTCTAATTTATTCGTGTATTATTTATGCAACCGCATATATTATGATATAATTATAATCTGTTTAAATTATAATCTGTTTAAATTATAATTTATTCATATTTTTCACGCGGCTGCATATATTATAATATAATTATAATTAGTTTAGTCTCAAGCTTCCTAAAAATTTATTTTAAATCAATTTCTCTACCTAAAATACAAAACGTGTATTAATTCGTATTGCATTATATTACTAGTATACATAGTCCATGGTAATCCATGGGATATCTTACTTAATCCCTGCTATTTATTCCATATTATCCTCGGAACTTCCCTTATCCTTTAATGATTGAAACCAGTTCTTTCCTTTCTTACTTTTGCCTGTCTTCAACGCATCAATTTCGTCTTTTTGTGACGTAAGTTTTTCGGACATTCCACAAAGATGGTCGCTCATCATGTCCAGTTGGATTTGATAACTGTTCTTCGTCGTCAACACTTCGTCCTTAAAAAGATTATACAGAATATCAGAATTGGTATAGGTCGAAGAATAGACATGGCTCAACAAGTTGTTATCGTCCTGCAATTCAACAATTCGTCAACAAGTTGTGAGTGACAACCTTGTCGCAACTTGATAAAATAACAGCATTGTTAAAAGTTGTGAAGAAGCTAGCTTGCTACAAGCCTGTTGCGAACACATCTTGTTGACGAATTGTGAGATTTTTTACGTTTGTAAGTTGGGGAGAGTAAACCACTGAAAACCATTAATAGACCACTTGCAGTAATGCGGCGTACCTCTAATTCGGTTATTCTAGACATTGCAGTCGTCACATCCTCCTTGCTTTTATTCTGCGAGTTTACACTCAATTGTAACCTCTTGAATAAGTTTTGGCACTATGTATAAAGATAAGCATACAGTTAACACAAAGTTTTGTTCATTCATTTAAGCAGTTTTCAAAGGTTTCGACAAATTATACATACTTCCGAATGAAGAAGAACTGACTTGCTATCGGCCACTTGGAGCTATAACAACAAAAATTTGTTTCGTAATATATGTGCATATTAATGAATGTACTCACTGGAACCAACCATGCACTTGGGATGTTGCTCGATTTCGGATGTGACGATAGTCTCGCAACATCCCCCGTGCATGGATGACGCTATCCTACACCGCTGCACGGAAAAGCATTTGGTATTCCTTTACTACTGATAACATTCTCGTACCGAGAGCCCTTCTTACGCGCGGTGCGACGAGGGGCTCTGGCCAAATCCATATCCGAACTGGCATCTGATTGGCTAGTTCTAACACCGGATATTGTTTTCTTACCATGTTTTTATGGTATCCGGTTATGGATTTGGCCAGAGCCCCTCGTCGCACCGCGCGTAAGAAGGACTCTGGGTACGAGAATGTACTGATAACAGACCTGTGTAGTCAGTTCTGCCAAGCGCTTCTTGTAATGATCTTTGATATGGTCTTCACGTGACACGGCATCTGGTTTCTATACAATATTTTAGAACAAATATAAGTTCATGTATATAAAGTGATATCTGGGACGCGTAAGAGTTGATCATGCAGGGCGCTTATATCCTTGGAGTTGATGCATGAATAACAGATGTTAAAGTTTGTTGGATAAGAGAAAACAGCATTTCATAATTGAAGAACAACCATGTCGAACATGGTCCAAAATTGTTTCAGAAGAGATGGTTTGGAACAACGTTGTTAGAATTATACAAGAATATATGAACAATATTGTTGACAATGATGTTTATATACAACACGATATTGTTCTGGCCAGTATACATACCCCAGTTGTGTCTAAGACGTTCAGCTCGCCAAGCTAAAAGAAAGCAAAGTTAAGTTAAAATATATCATTTCCAGGGGTGTATACTTCACCAGGTATAAATAAAGCAATATGGTTTACTCAAGAATTATTAATGAGTGTGAGATGACTTATTGCAGAATACCACCTACACTGGAAGAAACGTCTGGTTTGCACCCACCTCAACAGGCCTTTCACATTCCTCCTCAGGTGTTTGACGATTTGATTGTCGATGTCCGTTTGAGAAATCTTCAGCTCCCTGTAAAGAACAGTTTAGCAAAAACCAATTAGAGTTGCAGAATAGCGAATAGCAGCGTACCTAGTGAGTCTTGTAATGGTTTGC